CTTTGGCTGCAGTTCTCTGGGGTTTTAATTGCTTTGGAGCAGTGGTTTGGCAGCAGCTCTGGAGGGGGTGCTGCGGTTTGGGAAGGCATTTGGGATTTGCTGAGCAAGTCTGGGATCGGATCAGTGCTGGGAAGCAGAGGGATTTCTGCAGCCCCAAAGCAGCAGGGCTTGGCCCTATATCCAGGGAACTGTGAGCCTCCTCTCTCCCAGATCACAGAGCTGGGGTTGCTCTGAGGCCTCGTCCTCCTCCTTAGCCTTTTCTGAAACCCCTTGGAGGTGCCTCTCGGATCAGGCTGGAATCTCCCAGCTTGGGGACCTGTCTCAGCCGCAGCTTAGGGAATAACAAACAACCTCCCCAACGGGGGACCTTGCAGGGCCGGGGGTGTGACACAGCCAGCGGCATCACCCAGCTCTGCTGGGCTCCGGTGCCGTCCCTGGAGCTGCGGGACGGATAGGTTTTCCCATGGGGAGGTTCAGGTTTCCGTCACACTCAGCCCTCACCTGCTCCCTGCTCTTGGTTGGGGCCGTTTCTCTTGATTTAGGTCAAAGCCTCTGTGAGAGCAGCTGGGGGCCCTGGGAGGGACAGGGAGCAGGAGGGGGGCTTGGCCTGGGGTCTGTGGCAAGTCCCTGCTTAGGTGGCTGCACCTGGCGCTAGCAGGTGCTATGGGAGCTGCTGGGACGAGTCCCAAATTGCTGTGGTTTTGCCTTTGTTTGGGTGGAAACGGAGCAGGCGGCTTCGTGCCGGCCTGGGAGGAGGAGGAGGAGGAGCAGGGCCAAGGAGGGGAGCGCTGGCACCTGACAGGGCACCCGCCTGCCGCGAGTGGCTCTGCGCTTCCCATGAGCTGCTTGTCCTGCAGTTTCTCCTGGGCTCTGCAAACCTTCGCAGGAGCCCTCGGTTGCTCACAGAACAGCCCCTAATTTGTGTGGCTTTTGTGCAAGTGGGTCCAGCCAGCAGCGTGGCAGCGACCGGGGTGCCGGGAGTGGTTCAGAGCCGCTCTCTGAAGGTACCAGCAAGGAAATACCTCACCCCCCTTTCTGCCTGCCTGGCTTTGCTGCGTCTCCCTGCGGTGCTGACACCGCTGGTGCCGCTGCCATCGCAGATGGGCTCGTGGTGCGGGATGTTGTTTAGCAGCATGGGGCTCTGGGTGCCACCATGGGGACCAAAGTCCCCCCTGGGGTTGAGGGAGCTACCACTGGTCCCCACTCTCTGTCCCTCTCTCCCCCAGGCTCTCTGCAGCCACTGGACCCTCCCAGCACCATGTTCAGTAAGAAGCCCTACGACAGCCCCCCTACAGGCTACGGTCCCCCCGGCACGGGCGACTCCGGCTACGGCTACAGCGTGCGCTCACCCCCACCGGGCTCCTACTACATCGAGGATGTGCCCCAGCACTTCTACAAGTGGAGCTCGCCGCCCGGTGTCATCAGGATCCTGGAGGCCATCATCATCCTGCTCTGCATTGCCATCTTCGCCTGTGTGGCGTCCACACTGGCCTGGGAATACGGCTACGGCACTTATGGCAGTGGCCTGAGTGGCTACTTGGGCGGCACCGGCTACTACGGCAGTGGGCTGAGCTATGGTTATGGCTATGGGAGCTACTACAGCGGTGTCACCAACCCGCGGG